GCAAGAAAATACAAGTGTAAAACAATGTCAGAACTCAAGATAACATTTAACAACTTGGAATTATCTAAACATTGGCTAAGGAAACATTTATTCTGTAGCTCAGTGGTCGTAAAGTTAATGCAAGATATTATAGCTTTCTAGGCAGAAACTTGAGCAGTTATTTCTTACTATGAAAACTAAATAATTGAATTGGTTCTTCCACCTCATAAGCATCGGGCTCATCCATGATTTATAAGGACGGTGCTTAGCAGATAATCACCAGTTCCTTTGTGCAGTGATTTCAAGGGTTCTGAGAGGTTTGTTCAACATCATCATAGAAACGGAAGATGCTATTCATTTTATTTTAGTCCAAGAAAAACAATTTCTCCATTTCATGTTAATAAACTAGATATGCTCTATCTCCCACTGCAGTGTAATGGTTTTATCAAAATTAGAGCACCAGGTTACTGCAAGAGTAGACAGGTCCAGTGTCTAATTTCTACAAGCAACCATGATCAGTTGTTTTTAAATGAGTATGTTAAGCACAGCCCTTCTGAAATCAGAACATAGAATGTGTCCCTATAATAAAAATACCATTTCCTAGGAACACAGCCCTATTTTATCTTTACTTACAACACAATGCTGTATCTTTTGACTCCTAGAAACTGTAAAAGCTGTTTATCAGATCACTCACATTAAAAATGAAACAAGAGTCAACGAGCTAGCACACACAATATAAATGTACACACACAATCACGTGCATTTTTTTGAATGTTTAAACTGTAATAGCAAAAAAAAATTCCTAAATAGTTGTCACTCTTAATTTAAAAGGTTTCTGTCTCAGAGATAAAAAATAACAGACTATTAAGATTCATGATTCAAAATTATTTGCATTACACATTCATGTATGATTTTTGTTATATAATGTGTAAATTTTTCCTCTGCCCTTTAAATTAACATGACTATATAATTGGATTCCATTATCCTTTCAGTGATAGACAAACATAAGCTGAACCCAGCTAGGACGTGTTGCAAAGTTCCAGGAACGTGATGGGCAGAGCATTTTCTTGGTGCTTTAGTTGTTATTTGTCGCCACTTACTATTGTTACTTATATGTGTACTGAGACAGACGCTAAGTATTTGTCCTTTATTCTTGTTCCTATATTTTACAAATTTAGTTTATAGTCTATCTTTGACTTTCTACAAAACATTTGGTAAAGTACTCACATCAGCAACATAAATGCTGAACACACCTAAAATCACTTCCATATTCACTAAATTTTCACTAGCAGTCACATATTTCCAAGCACCTGTAATCAACACAGCAAAGCTGGTGCCACCGTTGCAGAGAATACAGTACTTTCAGAGCCATATAGTACATTTTTAATTAAAGAGACTTTATTTTTAAGCATTAAAGTAGAGGAAAATAAAAGAAAAGGTGGAACAAAAACCTTCAAAAATTATTTCTTACAAAGAAAAGGCTAATTAAGGAAGGTGGTTCACAGGAAATTCCCACATATAGTAATTTGATCATTTAATTTGATCATTTAAAATATTCTTCCTAGAATAATTATGTGGATTAAGGTGATAAGGTACACCTCAAATATTTAAAAACATTTAAGAGTATAAGGAAGATTTTATAATGTTATATTATTTTAAAATAAAAATCAATATAATGTAAAAAAATAAAATACATCTATTATATTCCAAATATATTCTCCTTTTCATTTTAAAGAGAAAAGAAAACAAAACAACAACCAAGACAAAAACAAAACAACACAAAAACAATAAAAACGATACAGAATTTCAGGGGCTGGGGATTTAGCTCAGTGGCAAAGTACCTGCCTGGTAAGTACAAGGTCATGAGTTTGATTCCTGGTACTGGAAGAAAAACAAAACAAAACAAAAAGAACAGAATTACAAAACAAGGTGATAGGAAGTTAGCAATGGTTGTTATATTACATATTCTTATCTTCAACGAAGTTTCTCAGATTACCAGATGTAAGATGTATTTTCTTATTCATAGTGAAATATGTGGTGATGTATCAGAAGCAGACAAAAATGGATAAAATTATTATTCTTCATTTCATAGCATTCATGTTTAAAATATTTATTCAATAAGCAATTATGGATTACATATCTATGTTTATCCTGCTAAATTACCTGTCAGAATATTTTAAATCAAATAGATCTATTGTTTCACTAGGGTTGGGGATTTAGCTCAGCGGCACAGCGCCTGCCTGGCAAGTGCAAGGTCGTGAGTTTGATTCCCGGTACCAGAAAAAAAACACAAAAAACAACAAAAAAGAGAATATATATATTGTTTCACTAGAAAAATGTCAGAATGGGGTTCTAGTTCAGTGGTACAGTGCTTGTCTGGCATGTGTGAAGCCCTAGGTTTGACAGGCTGGAAAGAAAGGAAGGAAGGGAAAAAGAGAAGAAAGATGCCATGTTTATCCTTGTAAATGACTTACACAGACACAAACCCTTAATGACAGAGCATGTAATTGAGCAAAACAAAATCATTCCTTCCTCTGATCTTTAGTATCTATTGTCTTTTTTCTATTATTTACTCTTTAGTCTTAAACAATATGATTATGAAGTTGTAGTACAGTCTATGTGTCCCAAACTAATCAAACAGATTTAATAAATACAACAGTATATGTTAAAAAAATTAAATTGTCTAGAAGCAAAAAAATACTCCGACAGATTTAAATTTTCCATGAGGGTTCATTTGAAACAAATTCTCCAGTGGTAATATTCAAGTAATTTATATAAATTAGAACGGGCCAGGCTGGGGATATAGCTCAGTGGCATAAGCGCCTGCCTGGCAAGTGCAAGGTCCCGAGTTTGATCCCTGGTACCGAAAGAATGGGCCAATCTTTCTCTCTCTATACTCCAAGTTCTTATTAGTGTAAATACATAAATTGTGGCATGCTAGTGATTGTATATGATTCCAGCAAATGGTCTTAGAGAAGACAGTTATGAATGTTTATCTTTATTCCACATCAAATGGCCTTATATGGACATTGCTTAGCCAATCTCAGCTTCCACTGAGTGCTTCCAAAAAGAGCATCTCTGTACTGTTATGACATAGGCATTGTTTCTGGCTTCACAAAACTTCCAGCTTAGGCAGTGAAATCCCAGCTACAGGGAAGTGCAAATAGCGTAAAATCTGGAAATGTGCCACTTAAAGAGGTTTACCTTAATAGCAGTTGGTACTTGGTTAACAATTTGCTGGACTTCATGAAAAATTTGTTTCCTGAACTAGGGGATCACATCATCAAGACTATAATCCAGGGGTCAGTTTTTACTATGCATCAATCATTTGGGTTTTGGTGGTTTTATTTGTTTGTTTGTTTTTTGGTCCTGGGAATCAAACTCAGGACCTTGTGTTTGCCAGGCAGGTGCTTGTGCTGCTGAGCTATATCCCCGGCCCTGCAACAATCATTTGATAATTAGCAATCTTGATGTCATAAAACAGTTAATCTTCCAAATACAAAGTAGTCTGTGCAATGGAAATATCAGGCACAACTGGTTGTAGATCTGACTTTTTCAAAAGAAAATACAGAATTTAAGAGTTTCTACTTAATATCAAAGTGAGAAGACGAAATATCTTGAATGATTTCAAGTCTTCTAAAATAGGATTCTGGTAGAAAAATTTTGGTTTTTGGTCTTTATGAATAGCTTTTGACAAGGAATATTTTTACTACCATTCTGGTGATAGTGAAGTCAAGATTTTAAAGTTACATACTTGATTTCAGGTGACATGTAGTTCACTTGGCAAAGTTTTAAAAGGTACAATTTTGATTCAGAATTTTTGTGGTAGTACAATTCAAATATAATATGATATATAAGCCAAGAAATAAAATTCTATAATGGGCCAAGGCATCATACTACAGATAAGCAACATAGTAATTCATTCCAAACATCAAGAGAAGAATGTAATACAAATGTTAAGAGTTTGGTTGAAAATAATTTAAAGGTTTGATTATCTGATATTTAGAACATTAGCTTAAATATTACATCTGCTATATAAATATGATTTGAGGAAAAATTTTTACATATAAATTATTAGGGTAAATTTTTGAAGATAACTTATACAGACACTGACAACAACTGTCTCCACCAAAATTTGGCATTTCCCAAAATATGCTTTATCCTTTAAAATAATCTGACCCTCCCAAGGAATTCTGCTTCTCTAAATACATACCCAGGTAACTTTTTTGTTATGTATCAGTCACAAATCACCAACTTTTCCTTGTGAGAATTTTGTTACAAATCTTTAAAATACAAAAATAAAACACAGCGTAGTTTATAGTCAAACAATCTGTGTAACAAACCTCATACAAGTTCCACATAGACATCTGAGGTGAACTATAATAATGTTTATGAAACCAAAGTTTTGCCATTTATTTTCAGTTCCTCTTGCATTGTCAGTACTATCTGGGCAATTAAATACTGAAATGAATTACTAAAGAATATTTATTTTCAAATACCTATAAGAAAATCTGCTTTGTATGACTTACTTGACCACCTAGAGTATCAATGTAGAACACAGTCCCCACAGTATCTATAAAGTGTATATCTCTTTGATCCTTCATTAGTTTTGACTGAACTGATTAAGCAATTTAATGAATAAACAGAGGCCATTTCAAATAATAGGTCAAGTAAACAAAATAATAATAAGTAAAATATCTATGATATGGTTTGCTCTAAAGTATCTCCCAGAAGACTCCTGTGTTCAGAAGTGGGACTTTTGGAAAACTGATTGGATCATGAGGCGATTGATGAGTTTGTAGCGAATGTACTATTATGAAGTAGAGCTCAATTGGAGGTGGGTCACTAGGGACGTGTCCTATCCCCAGTCCCTTCTATTGTTTCTTGCTCTGACTCTGTTTCCTGGATGCCATGGTTTGAGCAGGTTTCCTCTGCCATGCCCTCCCACCATGATGTTTCTGCCTTGGAGCCAGCTAACTATGGACTGAACCTTCTGAAACCATGAACCAAAATATTTAAAATTGTTACTCTCTTAAATTGTTTATCGTAAATATTTGTCAGAGACAAGAAGCTGACAACACAATCTTAAAAAGTCAAATAAGAATTTAAATGTAGCTTTTTCTTTAAAATACAGTGGTAATTAACATCTGAATAAGAGCTCTAAGAATCTGTCATAGTTCTTCATCTAGCTGAATGTGCAACATGTAGAGTGAGTATAATATAATCTTAGATATAACAGAGATTTTGACTATAGTTGTCCAGTGCTATACTTCCAACAGAAAAGTGTGTGATAGTGGTGATGGCAGCTATTGCTGAATCACTCAATGATTCATTCTCAGCTTTTCATACTGTAATGAGTGTCATGCCTCTCACTTTTCCTTCTTGTTTCATTTATTTATCCTAAATAAAATGCTCTATTCATTTTCTTACTACAAATATTTGGGGGTGTGGCAACTGCAGTTGTCCCCCAGGGTCTGTGAGGGAATGATTCCAGAATCCCCCAAGGATTTGAAAATCTGTAAATGCTCAAATCTTTGATATATAATGGTGAAGTATCTGCATATAACTTTCTAACATCTTCCCATATAAGGCACTATAAATCATCTCTAGATTACATGCTACCAAGCTCACATTATGTAAATAGTTGTTAAACTGCATTGTTTAGGAAATAATGACAAGAAAAAGTTCCATGTACAGTACATGTTCTGTACAGATGATTTCATATGGAAAAAGTTCCATACAGATGTTCTGTATGGAAAAATGTTCCATACGGTAAAATGTTCCATATGGAAAAATGTTCCATACATGTTCCATACAGATGGTTTTCTTCCTAATATTTGTATCTGTAGTTGGTTGAATTGAAGGATGAGGAACCCACAGACAAGGAGGATGGACTGTACTGCTTTGTTGTAACTCACTTATGGTAAAAAGTTTCACACACTTTCTTCACTTAAAGGCATTCATCATGCTATTTCAACCCATGATCCCTGAAACATATCTTCAGTTAACATATGACTCTCACCTATTTTGTATTTCTCTTGATAAGTAGAATTACACTTTTTCACAATGCAGACAGTACACTAGCTCAGAAACTACAGAAGCAACTCAAGAACTTGAAGTTTTTCAACTACTGTTTTCTAGACATAAGAAGGAAAACAAACATGAAAATGAATAAGACCTTGAGCAATGTAGATAACTATCAGTAATACTTTTTTCTAAACAGAGTCCACTTTTATTAGATTATTGTTGGTTATTAGTGGAGAACGTTTACATTTAATTCTATCTTCTATATCATTAGAACTATCCGCAAAGAATATCTTGGCTGTACATAGTGAGACTATAATTCTTCTATATTCCTTTCTGAAATTCTGGTTCAGTAGTCCATATATAATCGCATTGAGGCAGCTGTTGAAATATGCCATATAGTAACTAACCACAAAGAGCCATTCTGGGATCCTGGGCACCATGTTGGCAGGGTCTGAGGCTACAATGAGACCGATGAAGTTTAGAGGAGCCCAGCAAATGGCAAAAAGTACAAAAACCACAAACATGGTGACAAAATTCCTGAAGTCCTGTGGTTTCAGTTTAGGTTTGTTTTCAGGTTTCACTTTCCACCTGACCTGTAGAACCAGGATCCATATTCTTAGGTAACAGAAAGTGACTACGATCATAGGAACTATGAAATGGAAAACCACCACAGCTATTGTATATGCTGAGCTCACAGACTGTGTAAACGTACAGGAATAGATCCGTGGGTCATACTGGAGCGTTCCAATCCTCAGGTTGGGCACAATCGCTATAAGTGTCAATATCCATATCAGGAACACGTAGCAGAGGGAATTCTTGTTACTGTACAGCTTGTCATACTTGAGACTGTGGCAGATGTAGCAGTAGCGGTTGATGGCAATCCCAGTGATATTGAATACGGAGCCAATAACACTGAAGCCCATCAGGAAGGCGCTAATCTGACAGTGCAGATATCCCAGGTTCCATCCATTGTTAAATATAGAGGTGAGCACCAATGGGTATGGATAAACGGCCACCACCAGGTCTGCAACTGCTAGGCTCACCACAAATATATTTCCTAAAACAGAAAAAATTTACAAAATATAAGTTCACACTAGAATTAGATGGATCTCATTGTATTTGTTCTCAGTTATCAAAGAAAGAGCTGTTCCCACAGCTTGAATGACCTCACATTGTAGTACTACCAGGTCATAAATGAATCAGGGGCCGCTTTCACCAAGAAGTGAGCTTGTTATTGCCCTTGTCAAGTCAAGTCCACTCTTCATAAATTTACACATCCCAGAACTAGGCTTGTTTCACATCCAAAATTATTGTCTTCTCAACTAGTTTCTCTCCTTTAAAAAAATACCTCAAGTTTATTATACTTGTACCCCACCGTTCGTTTTGGAAGTTTCATTATCTGAGAAATCACATGTCATAGCATTTTGCAAGTCAGCCATGATTTTCTTGAGTTCCAGGTCTTCTGTCTCTCTCTAGGAATTCAACAGTTCTCAACTGGGCCTCTACTCTAGCACTGCTGTGGGAGAGCAATGGTATAAGAGTTACTTAAGAGCAAAAGGGCTCTATTCTTGGCTGTCTGGATTAGAGCAGTGTTTTTCTCCTTACTCGCTATGTAACCAAGGCAAGCTGCTTCTCCTCGCTAAGCCTCGGTTTCCTCTCCTATGAGACAGAAATAATGATAGTATCTTCTTCACTGGGTCATAGTGAGCATTGAATAGGCACTCCATGTCACACACTGCATAAAATGCCCACGGATGTTGGTCATATTCTACAACTCCCTCACCTCAAACCGAAAGAAAAGATAGTGAAACCATGAATTAGTAAGTCCCCGACTTATGAGTATCCAAGTTTGAACTGTCACAGCTGTGCTGTACGAGACTCACTTTGTCGGGTTGTCTACATCACATACTGCTTTGTACTTGAAGTCCCTATTTCATTAACTTCATTTCCCCCCAAAATTATTGCACAAATGGAGTAAAACAGCAGTTATGATGTAAGAGGTTTACAGCATTTAAGAATTTCAGAAAAATTATCATAAAAGTTCTTTAAAAGTTGGTTATGACTATCTAAATAAAAAATACAATGGTAAATAATTTTGAAATGAATAAATTTCAATTACCAATCACATATTTAAATTCCTAAATTAACATATTCACTAAATTTTAATTCAAAATATTTAATATTTTTTTAAACAGGCAACATCATGTAAAATACAACTGTATATTAAAATGTCCCAGAAATGGATTCTTTTTACCCAGGAGGTCATAAAGACAAACTAACTTAATATATATTTATTTTAAAAGAGCTTAAAAATAAAGTCACAAATGATGGCACAGATTTTGTGCCTATGGTTTTAATTCTGTGCTCCATTTATTTTATACCAATTATGTTCTATTACTGTTCAAGCAATTATACTAATTAAGTCATCAGTTTAATTTTCTTTGAAGTAATTTCATGTTACAAATGAGGAGAGAAAAATACTAAACCTCCAGTATGGCTATCAGGGAGCTCCACACGAAGCTTTGTCACGCCTGCTCATCTGTGTGGTGTGAGTGGGATGAGGGGGAAGGGGATTTCTTTTCTTACATTTGAGAACTCTACCAGGTAAGAATAATTTAATAAATTATTCATAATTATCACATTAGAAGGTCACATATTCCATTCTCTGCTCTGTGCTAGATTAAAAACCTATCCATTAATACAGATATCAAAAACTCCATACACCCAGAATAATAACGTATCCAGAAATTTAAAATGATGTCTATCCATGGCAGCACTTTTTTTTCTGCTGGATTTACGGCCAGTCCCCTTTTGTGGAGGAATCACAGAACCATACCATGGTAAGCTTTAAAGGCAAACTCTTAACAACCAGCTTGGGTAATTTCTACTTTTTAGAGAAGAAGAAAACAGAAAAATAGAGTTCAATTGAATTAAATTACAAAATAGTGAAAGAGGCCAGAGAGTACATCACCGTTTATTTCTGAGTCATGCTTAAAGCTCTTCCCTAAGGAAGCTGCTACACTCAGACATCGGGTTCAGAGTGCGGTCTGGTGGTCAGGTTCTGCCTTTACACCTTGTCAGGCACCATTCTAACACAAGTACATGGAACGAGAAGATTGAAGTGTAGTGGTGAGGACAGGGAAGCCACCTAGAGGCCACTACATTGGCAACAAGGAGAAACATGTGACAGCCTCACCGCAACTAAAGACACCAATTACAAATGAAAGTAGATATGTATGCTGGGGAATAAAACTCTAAATCAGAAATGCAATATAGCAGATATGAATAAGTTAATGGACAACTACAAACTTGCCTTTCTAACCTGCCTCCCTCAGAACTAGGACTTCCCTCCAGAATGGCCAGGGTGGCATTGCTTTTATATTTACTACAGTTGTTTCTACACCTTGACCATCACCCCATAGCCCAAGTACATACAAGGCAGTGCCTCTCTCCAATGTCTTCCCTCTCAGTTGTCTTTCCTGTGGATTTCAGGCATCAGTACCATAACAGAAGCATGAACTGTTTTATCTGCTTCCACAATTGCTCAGAGATTTTGTTTCTCAGGTTGCCACACAGGCTCTGGTAGTTAAAGTGGACAAAGAACCTTTAGGATGGTATTGTAACAGAAAATGGCCCCCTAGCCAGTATAGTTCAGTTTCTTAGTTGCCAAGTAATAGTTCCTGTTGCAGTTCCGGTTGCTTCTGTCTCCTAGAAACAGCTGGTCACTCTGATGCATATTGTGAGAACCAAAGACAGCCAAGTACTCTGCTTCTTGCTTGCCAGCCCATGAAAACCTCCCTCCCTGAGCCTTCAAGGCCTGACATGTGAGGAACAATTGATTCCCTGTTGGTGCCCATCAGACGTTAAAATAAATCTGCCTCCAAATCCTGGGTGTTGTTTCAGTGTTTCTGCTTGCCGTTGCAGTGTCTCTGTATTGTTTCTGTTTATCTGCAATTGGTTCTGTAGGGACTGGATTTAAAGTTTTAAAAATCATATTTCTAGGAGCAAAGAGGGCACTGGTAGTTCATGACCTGCAGTGGAAAAGTTACTTATCTGTACCCACTTCTATGGTAAAGAAAAACTTGTTGCATTGCTGTTCTTACCACTAAATATATCACTGTGACATACCATAAGGTGTGATTTTTAAAAAACCTACACTGAATGCTTAAATTTTTAACAAATTATTACAATAAAAGACACATTGTTATTAATCCCTCTCAAAAGTCTGCCATCTTTCAGCACATCTATCCATCATTCTTGCCACTTCTGAAGCACTTTACAGCTTACCTTGATGGTAATTTCTGTCAAATAAAAACAATACAATGTGTCCTCAACCACCTTATTCACCAGATCTAGCGCTGTGCAACTTTTGGCTCTTCTCCAGAGTCAAAATGGCCATGACAGACAGTGTTGTGAACAGATGAAGGGGTGCTTTAGTCATCGAGATGGCGTACTCATGAGTGGGACTGGTGACCTCATAAGGGATACAAGGGGCTTCTCATCTCTCCTACCACTTCCATCCTGGTCCCCCAGACCCATTAGAGGATGTAGCTAATGGGAGTAGAAAGCAGCCCTCATCAGACACCAAATCCCCCGTCTTGATCTTGAACTTCCCAGCCTTCAGAACTGTGAGACATAAAATTCTATTACTTAGAATTGCCCAATCCAAGTATTTTATTATAACAGTAGGAACAGACTAAGACACCAATGGTGTCTGAATTGTTTGTAGTAGCTCAGCAAGCCGTAAGAAGACGTGAGCCAGCACAGACAGTTGATTATAACATAAACCCTTAGGATTTTGCAGCCAGTCTGTGTTACCCTCTGCACATAAGCATGCCCCTTCTGGAAAAGACTTGTCTTGCCTCTTGGCCTCGGTAGAGTCTGAACGCTTGACTGTGAGCCATCAGGTGATGATGTGGTCTGAAAGGTCCCTCACTAAGGACTAGGTGTTGGTTGATCCACCAAAGCATAAGTGTCAACATCAAATACACACATACCCAAGCAGGTCCTAAAGGAACAAACAGGGGGCAGATGTCCAACCCCGCATTCCTATCACAATGCCCCCATCCCCTAAATATGTATGTACGGCCTCACAGGGATTGTCCTCTGACCAAATGACTAAGAATGAAAGAACTTCTGGCATGGTTTACAGGTGATGTTTCCCTATATATTGGCACTACGTGCAACGGAATAATTAAGGCCCTGTAGACCCAACCCAGAGTGGCCATGCAGGACAAATGTAAAGGACAACTTCTCCCAGTAAACAGAACATTAATCAGTGCTTCAAACAAAACTTGAGACTGTTTGCTTATTTTTCTTGGAAGGAGAGATGGCCCCAGACACAGATGTCCATTGATTCTGGGCAATGACTAGTAATAGAATCAAATGGTTGAGCTGGAAGAGGCATGATTAAAAAAAACTGGTGACACAGGAGTCCAGGGAAAATATAGGTACACAGCCGTGTCAGGATGGTAATTTGACGTGAAGATGTTTATATACCATTTGAACACTCACCAAAAAGCAACTTGGGGAGAAGAGGAACTTCATGACGCAACTTGTGGACCTCAGTTAATGTTTCCTTAGCCCTGACTGTCCTTAACCAATGAGCTCACAAATTTATCACAGAAGCAAAGAAACCTATATTCACAGGCTTAGCAGCATATACTAGTACTCATGGAACTGAACTGACCATAACCACTGCAGGACGCTCAAACTACCAACAGCGGAGACCAACGTAAATACAATACCATTCCCCAAGGAAATCTGCCCATCACCGTGCCGGTGGCAAGATGACACAAAACCACCTCCATCATCAAAAGCAGAAGTGTTTGTTCTGCCTGGGATAGAAGCACATTCTAGGCATGGATTTGCCTTTTTAAATTTTTAATACGCCTCATTTTTCTCCCAATCTAACATCCACGCACTCACAGCGTGCCTTTTCCACCATGATCATATTCCTCACAGCACTGCTCTGACTGAGGAGTTCATGTTATAACGAATGGAGTGTACAGTGAGGTCAAGTTTTGGGGGTTCACTTGACTTACCATGTTTCTCGTC